ATTGATATACAAAGTAAATGATTGCTGAATTAATGATTTAATAAAATACGTAGTTGAAATCTTATATTAGGCTGAAACGATAGCTTAGATAATGTCTCACATGTTTATTTTCTTTTTATAAATAACTTGGTAATGTAGGCGCAACAGACAATAAGGCTTCAAAACACACACAGAATAAATGGATCCAAGACCGTGCATTCAACAAGAACAAAAGCGTGCTGTATTTAACTATAGAAGTACATAAGGTTCACGCGAGATACAGTTTCGGGCAACTCTCACCCTTTATTACACTTTCCGACAGAAATCGGCTCACGCACACCGCTCCGTTTCACTCACTTTCGCTACGGCACTCTCGCCTCCGATTAAAGCACGCCCGCTCCACTATTCTCTATCTTAAAGTTCTTAGCACGCACGCTACCGAATTCGGAGTCCCTTTCGCAACGACATCCCAACGTAATCTCTCCTCCGATATTCGAAAACCCCTGTCGCGCCCGATCCCCCGCGATCGCAGCTCAATCTATCGATCGATACTCAGTGCCCATTTTGCATAGATGGTGCGACCTATATAATTTTAGGCGCTTACAGTAATGTCTTTTTTTTTAATGTAGAGAAAACATCCGTCATTATTAAAAAAAGCTTTACAAAAGAAAGAAGCAAAAATAAAAATGTATCCTCAGCATCCTGTGAAACATCCGATTTGTTGCGTCTTATTGCGTCTTATACTGATTTAAATGTTCCGCGTATAAATTTTATTTATGGTACTGTGCGATCTAGTGAATGCGGATCCTGCGACATCTACCCTAGGCGCGGGGTCCTATTAATGTTGCGTTTTTTTGTTTTCTTCTTACCGCCAAAAATATCAGTATCACGCAAAGAGTCGTTGCGGCAGGACGTAATAAAGCATTTTCAAAAGTGAATTAAGTTGCATCATCATTTGTTAGAAATAGCGTTCACATACGCACACGACACAGTTTCGCAGAGGAATTGTCAAAGATTCCTCACAACACGATTCAGTACCTGCAATTCCTGCAAAACAATCAAAATTGATGAATCAGAATATGTTCGTGAAAAACACTGCTCAAAAGAACAGGTTTGTAAAATTATACTGAACATGGAATTTTACAAATAAAAACTGATGCATGCATTTTTGTTTCTAGATTATTAAGCTTGTATTATCGTATATAATTAACGAAATGAGACCACTTGCAACTGTCAAGAAAACTTCATTCAGAAATCTTATATTGGGTATATCAAATGTTGAGCTACCAAAACGAAAAACTTTAAAGAAAAAAGTTGAAGAACAATTTGAATCAACGATTGCGGAAATAACTGCTCGACTTTCCAAAGCTCAACTTGTTTGCACCACTGCAGATATTTGGAGTTGTACAAATCGTAGTTTTATGAGAGTTACTTGCCATTACCTCGATGTCGACGATAACTTAAAAAGAAAATCGTGTGTTCTGGCATGTCACCGTATAAAATTTGCTCACACGTACATTGAAATAGCAAAAACGCTATTTGATGTTCATCAAAAATT